AAATTACATACTGCCACATTATTTTTAAGACTATGCATTACTAACATTCTCATAATTATAATGAACATAACAAATGATCAACTCTAAACAATGAATGATATGACATATAGATTTCTCAAGGGAAAACCACTGTATATACATGATAGCAAAATATATTTATTAAAAACACCACACACACAGAAAAGGAAAGAGTAGAATTCTCGATAAGCCAGAAACTTACAAAAAAGGAAAGAGGAGAACTCTTGATAAGCCAGATCCATCTGCTGTGGTAAAGGAATAACCTTCTATTTGCATTACTGGTACAACAAACAGTTATACACATTTCAAGTCTGTTGCCCTGAGAAAGCTGTTTTTCTGCCTTGATGTGTTTTGGCTGACATGATGTCTTTGAACAATGCCCAGTCGGCCGGTATGACAGCTCTGGTACTGGCTAGTAGTGATAGTAGCACATTTTACCCCACTAGGACATCACATAAGCCATAAACACCCAATAACACAAAGTGCCACCATGTGGATGAGGATCACCCGTGGAGAGGTCTCGGAAACTGGGTTCAGTCATTAGACCATATTTATGGCTGGGCTATATTGCGGCCCCTGGAAAGAGCCAGGGTGAAGCTTCAAAATAATGCAAAATTGCATCCCATAAGGAGAGGTACTGGCTGCACCTGCATACTGTGTGTAGACAAGGTGGATATGATTTTTACGAAAAAATTGTTTGATAGTTTTGGGAGGAAAGGGGGGGAGGGGGGGGGTGGGGGGGGGGGGTTTTAATTAACTTTGGATTAGCCACACTTTCATAACTACGTCACACTGATCTTTGTGATAAAGTGACCATAACCACTTTTAAATGGTCACAGGAAAGGAAATCAGTTTATTATTTGATCCGTTTGTATGTGGTGATTATTTCCCTTTACGTTGAAATAAACCTTTTTCCAACTAAGACATTTAGTGCTCGGAATTTAAAAAGACACATTTTAAAAACTATTATGGGACATGAGAATTAAAGCATATTACAGGGCTGTCTCATATAAGGTATGTAATAAACACACAAGAACTGATGCTGTTGGAGATCTCAAGTATATGATGTGTATAACTGATGCTGTTGGAGATCTCAAGTATATGATGTGTATAACTGATGCTGTTGGAGATCTCAAGTATATGATGTGTATAACTGATGCTGTTGGAGATCTCAAGTATATTGAATGTGTATAACTGATGCTGTTGGAGATCTCAAGTATATGATGTGTATAACTGATGCTGTTGGAGATCTCAAGTATATGATGTGTATAACTGATGCTGTTGGAGATCTCAAGTATATGATGTGTATAACTGATGCTGTTGGAGATCTCAAGTATATGATGTGTATAACTGATGCTGTTGGAGATCTCAAGTATATGATGTGTATAACTGATGCTGTTGGAGATCTCAAGTATATGATGTGTATAACTGATGCCAAGCTGTAGAACACTTGGTGATCTAGGAGCCCATGACACTATATCCAAAAAAAAAACCGTGTGGGTTCCGGGGCCCTATTGTGGGAAAAACAAGAATAGACCCACTGCCTCCCCAAAAGCATGTCGTAAGAGTCGACTAACTGGGGAGCTTCCTTTGAAGTCGGAGTGCATCTGCCTAGAGGCAAGGAACCAGCAGTCTGCATTCAATTGAATCAGATCTGTAAAACTGATGCACACGCAACACTCAGGTTCTGGAGCAGGACTGCAGTCCAGAAGTGGACGAACAACCAGAACTTTACACCAGAGTGTACAGCTGGTGAACGCAAAGAAGAAGAAGAAGACTATATCAAAAATCTATTACAGCGAGGGCAGAGGAATGCTGACTATTGATATGATGCAGATAGCTTTTTTTATTTTTATGAGAAAAATCTCTCTCCTGGTGTGTTGGGAAATGAACAGGCGGACAGACTGGCTGGCTCTGCATAAATTGGTGGAATACTGATGCATGATAAGGCAGACGTGGTTAGTGCCTTGTGGGAGAGCGTGTACAGTTCGGAGGAGCAGATGGATCACCACAGTCTGGTAAGATTGGTGCAGCGGGGAGTGACGAGAGCTTCTGGCAGATGCTCGAGGCTCAAAGGAAAGGTAAGACGGACGTTTAATCAGAATGTTACTGGCACCATTAGAATAGGAACTCTTTACTGGCTGTTAAGGATGGGGACGGAACGCTTACGGGAATGCCCCAAGTGCTGTGATGTGGGTTTTCGAATCAACTCAACTCATGAGAAAAATCTTTGCCACCTCTAAAGTTAATTAAACTAAAAATCACCATGCCAATGTAGACTATGCAACGTTACGAAGCTTACAATAACATTTGTATTGTAAATAGTTTTATAAAATAATTGCTTTATGTAAAGATGTGGGTTTACACTCATCAAATAGAGAAATACATCCACTACTAATTTATCTAAGGGTCATTTGTTGATCCGGGCTTTAGTTAAATCCCCAACCAGGGAGATATTTGTACAACTAAATTAGCAACTGGGGTCCAATTCAAATGGTTGTGCCAGAAACTTCTTGAAAGTAGAGAAGATTAAATGGAGAGTTGTAACCATACCTACTCTCATGATCTAGTACACATGTGATCACCTATCCCCTACTGCAAACACACACCATATAGCAGTATTTACTACGGCTAGTTTTGTTATCCTTCATAGCTTTACAATATTTACACATGTACAAACACATGGACTTATATGTAAATGGTGACCGCTATGTTTAACTTCCCAGTAACATAAATATTATATAATCAGATCACATTGACAGACACACTGCCTTTTATCTGATGCCGTAAATTTTACAGTAAGTGTATTTCTTATAAACTCAACTACTTAACTGATCAATTACTCTGTCCAATCAATAAAAAAAAATACCTTATTGGATATAGCTAGTTACAAGATAAACAAATAAATAGCATAAGCAAATTACACTCTCTAGATATGACAGTATTACTGGAAGTCAAAGTAAGAAAACAAATGACACTTTTACAAATACATAAACTATTCACATCATCATCATATAGCAGATCTTTTACAAAACATCCCCACCGTCTTGCTAGTCTGCCCCTATCCTCTTTTACCTGGTATGATGCTCTCAACTGTGTCTTTTTAAGCCATACTGATGTTTAATTTGTCCATAGTTTTTTTTTAAACCATAGTGATGTTTAATTTGTCCATAGTTTTTTTTTAAACCATAGTGATGTTTAATATGTCCACAGTTTTTTTTAAACCATAGTGATGTTTAATATGTCCACAGTTTTTTTTAAACCACAGTGATGTTTAATTTGTCCACAGTTTTTTTTAAACCAAAGTGATGTTCAATATGTCCACAGTTTTTTTAAACCATAGTGATGTTTAGTATGTCCAAAGTCTGTTCAAGCCATAGTGACTATGGCTCACATACAGCAGACATGTCAAATCAGTCAACACATGAGTTAAAAGGGTTGAGTAATTCTCGTGGCCCTCCAATATAATGTCCAAAGAGGCTCCAGCAATCTGCTTATGACACATGAGTACAACTGCTGAACATTAAGTAACTATGGGATAGCGACACCTGACTTTGGCCTACTATGGAAATTTGATGTGTTGTCTTCAAACACACTGCCAGTTTGCTGCTACTTACAAAACTTCCCATGTGGGTTCTGGGACCGAATTTCTAGAAGTGGTTTGTGGAGGGGTGTGGGGGTAGGGGAGGAGGGGCGATAGACCCACTGTACCTAAATTCGCATGCTGCAAAAAAATGACTGATGATTTGGTTAAATCAGATGTGTTAAGAGGTCAAACGCAGCAGATATAGCAGCCTAGCTGTATCCTCAACCCAACGTGCCAAACACACTTTTAAGAGTGAGTGCAGAATAAAAAGCCTTCACTGCTCTTAATTTTAAAGCAGTGGTTATTTTTAAAATGTCAAACAAACAAACAAAAGTTTTAAAAAATATCAGAGACGGTGATATTAAAATCAGCTACTTTTCAACATTCAATTTAGTATTAAATCTTTAACATGAAGACAGACCAGAAAAAGCAATCCATCAAAACACCTACACTTCTAACAAAATATGCGACAAGCTATTTTACATATCAATAATCTATAAACCTTTTTAGTATCGAACAACATCTGATTGGTGAATGAATCTAGGCCATGATGTGCTTTCCTGCTTTTAACATTTTATCACAACATGCTAGAGAAGTTTGGCTTCCCATATGGTCACTACCACAGTGTTCACTGATTTACGTATCGACATCATCATACATCGGGCATACCCTTAGGTGCTCCATCTCCCGCAGTAAATGTCTTAAGGTGTAGATGCTAACTGTTTCCGTAGCACACAGATTATAAACTCATCACTCTCTTCCTCTCATACGTCGCTCCAAGCCGGATCGCCACCTGTGCACTCTGCCATTTTGAAAGTAATGCATTCATGATTTTCATCTTGGTTAAAAATGAGGGTTTTCGTGGTAAATTTGTCAGGCCAATTGCCTCACGTTCTAAAGCTGAGGGTCTGGGTTCATTTCCCGGCTGCATCAGTAATTTCACAAACACAATTTTTACCGAGACCCGGAGAGGATGTTGTCAAAGCTACTGAGTTCATGCTTTGTGCAACATTTGGAGGGCAGCTAGGCATTCTGCAGACAGAGATTGAGCCACATGGGTTAAAACCCAATGAAATGAAATCGATCTTCTCAACTTTAACATCTCGGTTATTTCTTCACTCTGATATCTCCTGTAAAACTTTCTAGTAGTGAAAAGAGTTAAGGGAAGAAATGACCTAACAAGCCAACAATTATTATGCAGCATATGGGGTGTTCATGATATGAAATTCGGCAGATGATTATTTTCAGACACAAATCATAATGACTTCATGACGCATACTTCAATTTGATCACATCCACTCTCAAATGAGTATGTCTTAGAGATTAAAAGAACTGAGCTGAAATATTTGCTAAAGTAGCTTAGAAACAGAGACTTGCAATTGTTGATACCAATCTCCTACACGTCCACAACCATTTTCTTGTGAACATCCATATTTCCTACGACCTGCAGAAAAACACCAATAAATAATGTCAGCGTGTTTCACTTTGTAGTACACACACATATATACACATTTATAGTGTGACAACTAGATAATCGCTTATGGATCTAAAGGTCATGGGTTTGAATCTCACCAGTGCCTGGTTTTTTTTTTTTTTTATGACCTTGACTGCCAGGTGGATCCAACGTTAAGTGGGTACTAGGTAAAGTCCTGAGAAGTAAAGGCTGCTGACCTGTTGTTGACCACATCACAGACTGAGTGCCAATTGATTAATAAAATATAGATTTAGCCCTATATGCCCAAAATGCCTGAAGGCTTAGAAAATGGTCTTTATTTACACACACATGCACATACACACGTGCGCACACACACACAGATGCACACACACACGCATATATATATATATATATATTATTTTGAAATAAAAATACATAAATAATTGTAATATGTACAGAAACCTGGACAATGAACAGGTAACTAGAAAAGTGAACTGAGTCTCTGGAGATGTGGATAAACAAAAGAATAGGGTGTTAAATAGGTTATATTTCATGGAAGCAAAAACAATTGAATACAAAGGTTCTAGTGAGCCTGGGAGTTTAAAAAAAAAAAAAGAAAAGCTGAGACTAGTGAAATTTTAAGCCACATTAAAAACCATTACACACTTTTAAAACCCATACTGGAGGAAAAAGCCAAAGGTGATAGCGAAAAAATTGTAGGCAGTGATACAAATGAGAAGACAACATCAAGAAAAGGATAAATAGCAGTCACAGAGTGTACAGAGATAGCACCTGATTGATTATGCATTCTTCTTCTTCTTCTTTACGTCCTCTTTTACCACTTCGGGTGTCGAGGGAGATATGAGGTCCTGCTTCGTGCTCTTCTGGCTGCTTCGACCATAGACACATGGTGGTGCTGTAGAGTTTTTCTGATGTTATCTTCCCATCTGGTTCTTGGTCTACCTCTTGCCCTCTCCTCTTTTGGTATATGTCTTGTATGGTATAGCATCAGAAGGCATTCTCTCCAAATGGGCAAACCATTTGATTTGCTGTCTTTGTTCGCCTGCAGATCGGAAGGCCGTGGGTTCACGAAAGTAATAGACCACTATATTTAGACTGCAAACTGGACCCAACAGATTAGACAGCCATATGTTCAAGAAATGTAAGATTGGTGACTCAAAACTTTTCCCATGTGGATTGGTAACACAGAATACTGAATTTGTGCTGCAGATATGCTCCTTACATGCCGTAGGGAGATACCAGATCTGAAGAGTTAGCATTCTGGTGGAAATGAAGCTGCATGGATCAGTGGAAAGCAACTGTTGCACCACAGCCTTCATGTCAATATTCTCATCCCAAAGTGGGATGCAATTCATTATTTTGAAGCCCTACTCAGGCTGTAGTTGGGGTCCCTAATATAACCTAACGGCTGATCAGGGTTTCTGAGACATGCCTGGGTGATCCTCATCCGAATGGTGGCACTTTGTGCCATCAGGTGTTGGTCCCTCATTGTACTGTCCTGGTGGGGTTAAATGTAAGTGAGTCAGCCTTCATAGAGAAATGCGGCCCTCTCATCTTAAAACTACTGGCAGTGAGAACACACACAAGAAGTATACAATGACAATGGTATACAACACTGTAGAACTACACAGAAAAAGCTGTATTTACTTACATCACAAAATTCCTCAAAAGAGATCTTTCCGTCGCCATCAGCGTCAGCATGGATAATAGTTTTGTCCACTATCTGCTGGAGTTGGGTGTCTCTCAGGTTATTTCCAACCATCATCTTTAATACTTGAAACAGTTCCCCGTTGGATATATAACCATCTTTGTCCATGTCATAAATTTTGAATGCAACTGTTAGAAGTGAAATAAATTTCAAACAAAAAAGTAAGTGATGATTCTAACTTGTTATCTCACACTTAAATGTGGAAGCATCAAACAGTAAAGTAAAACAAAAACCAATCATAAAATATTATTTCAGTACCAAATCCCCCCCCCCCCCCCCCCCAAAGTATTAACTCAAACTAAACACTAAGTTCCCAGTGTTGGTTTCAACCCCAAAAGGTTTAAGGTTAATGTCGAGAGGATCGACTACATTGCACCATGTTTTATCCTATACCGCTCAGTCTCTCTCCTGCCGAAAGCACCGCAAAAAGGCACAAACTCCGTGGCTCCGGCAACGATGCCCAGGTATCTCTATAAAAATTGCACTCGTGAACTTTCAGCCGTGAAATGAACCCACAACCTTCAAAGCAGAGCGTAAGGCAGACAGCTGCACCCCTTCACTATGAAGGCCCCCCAGTTGGTTCCAACCCCACTGCCCCTTAATAAGCATGTTGTAAAAGGTTAACTGATTAATGTTCTGGTGAAACTGGATGTGTCTGGCCTTGCACAGATATCGCAGCCTAGCTGTAAATAATAACATTTAATACCAACCACCCTTTTAAGGTGAACAAAAAAGAAGAAGAAATACTAAGCAAGCCACACTGAGTGAAATTCTACAAAAATATATTTTGTAGTGCATTCTCACTCAGTCGCATCAGCATTTTAAATCAATCATGTTACATAATTAAATCATAAACACAACACCTCAAACTCACAACAAAAAGGTTTTAACTTACATCGCAGTTTTGACTCTTTATCACCTTTGACACTAAATTGGGAAATTCCTTCAATAAATTCTGTGGAAGACAAATTATAACACCACAATCAGAATGATCACAGTAATCAAGTATGGAATTCAGAATGTCTGAACTGTGGGAAATGTAAAACGTGATACAGAAAATATGTTGACAATAAACAAGTAAATGATCATTTTCACACCTTCTTCTTCTTCTTCTATTTCTTCTCTCAGCGATCACCACCTGTAAACTTCAAGAGAGTTCTGGTTGTTCCTCAACTTCTAGATTTCAGTTTTGTTTCAGAATTTGAATTCTTCATACATCTCCCTTATTTTTTTTTTTTTTTACAGGTCTAGCTTCCTTGCATGCAGACTGCTGGTTCCTCGCGCCCCAACTCTGGAGGGGGAAACATTCCTAATTAGTCGCCTTTTACAACATATTTGATAATTTTTCATTCACACATTATTGAACATATATTTCATCTAACCTCGTGACTTCTTTCAGCATTTGTTCATAAATGGTCTTCAGAATGTCTCCTTTGCCCAGTATGAGTATTCCCATGGCTATGGCATTTGTAGCCAGAAAATCCACTTTTTTTTTTCTTCTTTTGTCCTACAGCTTTTACCCTGAAGTATCAAACAGAGGTGTTATATGCAGTTTCCTTTTTGTTGCGCAGCTTGCGTTAATGTCCCTTGGTGGAGCTCTTGTCTTGTAGCCTGCTGTTCTCATGTAGTACGCTCTAGCTGCTGGCTGATTTTGTTGTTGTTGTTGTTCTTCTTCTTCTTCTTTGTGTTCGGTTTCGAATGCTCAGATCAGACCATCAGGCGGGTTGCCTCTATGGACTCACATGTCAGCAGCAGGTCCTGCATGGTTCCACATAGCTTGCTCTGCACACTTTGCTCTTGAGGCCAGGTGTCTTTTCGAAGTTGCAGGTAGAGTGGGCAGATCTGCAGAATGTGATGAGGTGTTTGGGGTCCTGTTTGACAGGCACACTGGGGGGGACTGTACAATCTTAATTGTATGCATGTGGTAGTTGAGCCTGCAGTGTCCTGTTTGTAGACGGAAAATTGTTGTATGTTGCTTTCTGTTGAGTCTGCTCATGGGGTCTTGTGGATGTTTACTGTTAGCTTGTTCTCTCCACAAACCCTTGTATTTTCCTTTGATAAGTGTTCTGATTTCTGGTAATGACAATGAATGGGCGTGTTGTTTCTCCTTTGTTCCATTTTTTGCAAGTCTGTCTGCTAACTCATTTCCTAGTATGCCGCAGTGATCCGGGATCCACTGGAGAATCATTTGATTGTCTTCTGTGAGTCGATTTTGTTCCATTCTGACCAGATAACAAAAACCTTTGATTATGTGATGATCTACGAAATCATATACCGGTACTGTGCCTACCATTGTTCTTAGTTCTTCGTTGGTGACACAGTCTCTTCTTGTTTTGCCTGCTGCATCTTATTCAAAAGGTGCTATAAACAAAAGACCTTTTTCACACCTTTAGAGTTTTGGGCATATAGTGGTAGACATACATTTTACAGACGAATTGGAATTCAATGGGTGGGGAGATTAACATCATGCCCACTACCTTTACTTCCCTGATTATTTTTACTTGGTGTCTGGGTTGGCCACTGATTCTGGAACAATCTACCTTGTGGATAGTGTGATGTGGATTTGAACCCTAGATCTCTGGGTACAAGCGTACAGTTGATGCACTACCACGTCACCCAATATACATAAGGTAGATGTAAAATGAAAATACAGGGCTTAGCAGAGGGGAAGAAAAGAGAGACAAAGATAGACCTGGATACAGAATTTGGCTGAACGGACAGGCCTCAAGCAGGCAAACATCAAGTCCCCTGCACCTGACCAACAGAGGTAGAGGGAACTGATTAGACCAGTGTTTCCCAAACTTTTCTGAGCCGCTGCCCCTTTTTTCAATAAAAAATTTTCCACGGCGCCCTAACCTAAGTAAAAGTATGACTATTCGTATGTAAGAGATTTTAAAAAAATTAAACTTGTGAATCTTCAAATATTTTGCAGTGCCCCTGTGAAGAGGTCGCGGATCCAAGATGTGCGGCGGCGCATAGTTTTGAAATCACGGATCCAAGATGTGCCGCGGCGACGGATCCAAGATGTGCCGCGGCGCATAGTTTTGAAATCACGTGATTAGACAGTAGGAACTGGTAAACCAACGACACACTGTGCTTTATATGACCATAATGATGACAAGGTAGGTGTGCTTATGATTTTTCCACAGAAAGATTCTTCTTTCTCTCATCCATATTCTGCTTAGTGCCGCTAGGCATTGTAGGTAACCGATGATCAGTATTAGAGCTAGGGCACGCTTGGGTGCCCGGTACACTGTTATGTTGTGGGGTCCCAAGGTTATCAGGGACTCCTTCCCCCATCTTCAGCATCTAGCGAAGAGTTCCAATTTCGATGGCACCACTAACTGTCACATTCTCATTAAGTGGCCAAACCATTTCAGTCTTTGTTTTTCAATAAATGTAATCAATGAATATAAAGATTCAATACCTTTAAAATCAACTTCTCCATTGCCATCTGTGTCAAATATATCTATGACTCTCTGAACAAGTGGGTTCTGATGCAATTCTGGCAATGACATAAACTCATCAATGCTAAGAGCTCCAGAGTTGTCAAGATCCAACTTCCTAAAGCGTTTTCCCAGACGTTTTATTTCATCCATATCAACTGAAAAGGAACAGATATGCAATACACTTTCCTAACAATCACAGTAAAATCAAGTATCTAATAGAAAAACATTCAATTTTCCTTCTTCTTCTATAAAAAAAACTCTGTGAGGGAAGTGATTAGGCCAAGGACTTCATGCTGTAAAGGTAAAGATAAAGGTGAGAGGACTGACTTCATAGCACCAGGTTTTATGCTATTTGGATCAGTCTCTCTTTTCTCAGAACAGTTAGCTGCCTGCTGAGAGCATGGCACAGAGCCTGACCTCCGTAGCTCCGGCGACGATCCCCAGGGATCTCCATAAAAAATGCACAGTGCTACCGTGAAACGAACCTACAACCTTCAGAGCGCAAGGCAAATGGCTTGACCACTTTGCCATGGAGACCACTTTGCCATGGAGACCCCATGCTGTGAAGGTTGTCAAACCTCCCTGGGGGGATGCTGACTGTTTCCGTAGCACTCTGATTGCGCAAATGCCATATTCTCCCTCCCATAGACCCTTTCTTGCTAGATCCACTCTCAACTTTAAATTTGCACCACCTAACAGACATTTCATTTTACACTGTACCTTACACCAGCTTTCACTCAGTCTTCAGAAAGTCTACCTTGTTCATTATTAGTGTTCATGTCGCTGTCACTTTTGTAGCACATTAAACAATATCCACCCATTTATTGTTCTGCACTCCTGCAGATAGCGTATCCATGTGGCTCCCTGTAATGTTCATAACCAAATGCACAAATGATGCTCCTAGAGGTTTGAGGTTTTGAACATCGGATCAACATGGATATTACATGGTGAGACCCTAAATTCCTGCACAGTGCAACTATCGTACCACTGTCTTCTTCTTCTTCTTCTTCTTCTTGTTCACCGGCTGTGAATTCCGGCGGTAAGTCGCGGTTGTTCGTCCAAAATAGACTTTTGACTTTTACCTTGACCTGAGTTTTGGGTGTACATCCGTTTTACTGGCTTATTTGTTTGCAGTTCTCGTTCCCCGCCTCTCCGGCAGATGTACTCCGACTTCGGAGGAAACCGTACCACTGTCTAAAAGCCATGAGAACTGTACTTTTTTTGGGGGGGGGGGGGGGGGAAAACCACTGGAATGAAACCCGGGAAGAGTGGGGGGGGGGGGGGGGGGGGGGGGGGGGGGGGGGGGGGGGGGGAAACCACTAACCACAGGAATGAAACCCTGTTAAACGCTGAAGAGTGCACAGTGCAACTATTGTACCACTGTCTAAAAGCCATGAGAACTGTACTTTTTTTTGGGGGGGAAACCACTAACCACAGGAATGAAACCCTGTTAAACGTTGAAGAGTGCACAGTACAACTATCGTACCACTGTCTAAAAACCATGAGAACTGTACTTTTTTTTTTGGGGGGGGGGGGGGGGGGGGGGGAACCACTAACCACAGGAATGAAACCCTGTTAAACGTTGAAGAGTGCACAGTGCAACTATCGTACCACTGTCTAAAAACCATGAGAACTGTACTTTTTTTTTGGGGGGGGGGGAACCACTAACCACAGGAATGAAACCCTGTTAAACGTTGAAGAGTGCACAGTGCAACTATCGTACCACTGTCTAAAAGCCATGAGAACTGTACTTTTTTTGGGGGGAAACCACTAACCACAGGAATGAAACCCTGTTAAACGTTGAAGAGTGCACAGTGCAACTATCGTACCACTGTCTAAAAACCATGAGAACTGTACTTTTTTGGGGGGGGGGGGGGGGGGGGGGGGGGGGGGGAACCACTAACCACAGGAATGAAAAACCCTGTTAAACGCTGAAGAGTGCACAGTGCAACTATCGTACCACTGTCTAAAAACCATGAGAACTGTACTTTTTTTTGGGGGGGGGGGGGGGGGGGGGGGGGGGGGGAAACCACTAACCACAGGAATGAAACCCTGTTAAACGTTGAAGAGTGCACAGTGCAACTATCGTACCACTGTCTAAAAGCCATGAGAACTGTACTTTTTTTTTGGGGGGGGGAATGAAACCCTGTTAAACGTTGAAGAGTGCACAGTGCAACTATCGTACCACTGTCTAAAAGCCATGAGAACTGTACTTTTTTGGGGGGGAAACCACTAACCACAGGAATGAAACCCTGTTAAACGTTGAAGAGTGCACAGTGCAACTATCGTACCACTGTCTAAAAACCATGAGAACTGTACTTTTTTTTGGGGGGGGGGGGGGGGGGAAAAAGAACCACCACTGAGAAACCACAGGAATGAAACCCTGTTAAACGTTGAAGAGTGCACAGTGCAACTATCGTACCACTGTCTAAAAACCATGAGAACTGTACTTTTTTTTTTGGGGGGGGAACCACTAACCACAGGAATGAAACCCTGTTAAACGTTGAAGAGTGCACAGTGCAACTATCGTACCACTGTCTAAAAGCCATGAGAACTGTACTTTTTTGGGGGGGAAACCACTAACCACAGGAATGAAACCCTGTTAAACGTTGAAGAGTGCACAGTGCAACTATCGTACCACTGTCTAAAAGCCATGAGAACTGTACTTTTTTGGGGGGGAATGAAACCCTGTTAAACGTTGAAGAGTGCACAGTGCAACTATCGTACCACTGTCTAAAAGCCATGAGAACTGTACTTTTTTTGGGGGGAAACCACTAACCACAGGAATGAAACCCTGTTAAACGCTGAAGAGTGCACAGTGCAACTATCGTACCACTGTCTAAAAACCATGAGAACTGTACTTTTTTTGGGGGGGGGGGGGGGGGGGGGGGGGGAATGAATGAAACCCTGTTAAACGTTGAAGAGTGCACAGTGCAACTATCGTACCACTGTCTAAAAAAGCCATGAGAACTGTACTTTTTTTGGGGGGGGGGGGGGGAATGAAAGGAATGAAACCCTGTTAAACGTTGAAGAGTGCACAGTGCAACTATCGTACCACTGTCTAAAAGCCATGAGAACTGTACTTTTTTTTTGGGGGGGGGGGGGGGGAAATGAAACCCTGTTAAACGTTGAAGAGTGCACAGTGCAACTATCGTACCACTGTCTAAAAGCCATGAGAACTGTACTTTTTTGGGGGGGGGGGGAAACCCACTAAACCACAGGAATGAAACCCTGTTGCAAAACATTCGAGTGCACAGTGAGTGACTAATCGTACCACTGTCTAAAAACCATGAGAACTGTACTTTTTTGGGGGGGGGGGGGGGGGGGGAATGAAACCCTGTTAAACGTTTGAAGAGTGCACAGTGCAACTATCGTACCACTGTCTAAAAGCCATGAGAACTGTACTTTTTGGGGGGGGGAATGAAACCCTGTTAAACGTTGAAGAGTGCACAGTGCAACTATCGTACCACTGTCTAAAAACCATGAGAACTGTACTTTTTTTGGGGGGGGGGGGGGAATGAAACCCTGTTAAACGTTGAAGAGTGCACAGTGCAACTATCGTACCACTGTCTAAAAACCATGAGAACTGTACTTTTTTTGGGGGGGGGGGGAATGAAAACCCTGTTAAACGTTGAAGAGTGCACAGTGCAACTATCGTACCACTGTCTAAAAACCATGAGAACTGTACTTTTTTTTGGGGGGGGGGGGGGGGGGAATGAAACCCTGTTAAACGTTGAAGAGTGCACAGTGCAACTATCGTACCACTGTCTAAAAACCATGAGAACTGTACTTTTTTTGGGGGGGGGGGGGAATGAAACCCTGTTAAACGCTGAAGAGTGCACAGTGCAACTATCGTACCACTGTCTAAAAACCATGAGAACTGTACTTTTTTTGGGGGGGGGGGGAATGAAACCCTGTTAAACGTTGAAGAGTGCACAGTGCAACTATCGTACCACTGTCTAAAAGCCATGAGAACTGTACTTTTTTTTTGGGGGGGCGGAATGAAACCCCTGTTAAACTGTTGAAGAAGAGTGCACAGTGCAACTATCGTACCACTGTCTAAAAGCCATGAGAACTGTACTTTTTTTGGGGGGGGAAAACCACTAACCACAGGAATGAAACCCTGTTAAACGCTGAAGAGTGCACAGTGAAACGATTTCACTAACCTCAAAGCCACAAAACCACTTTAACATGGCACTTAGAATTAGTACTTAATAATTTTCTTTGAACTTTCTAAGAAAGAAAGACCGTGAGAAGCAAAACTACCACCCGCTCAATCCCACCATGCCGTGTTCTATAAAATACGAGAAGGTCTAACATTTCACATAATAAAGGACTCTGTCATCTAATCTTGAAAGCAAATAATCCAGAGCTTGAGGGTGTCACAGCGGCAAAGTTGGTTGGTGCCTTTCCCTCTTTCCAGAAAACAGTGTTATATTCTAAGCTATGGGGAGGCATGCCAACTGCAGCGCGATGGCTAGTATGACTAACAATACTTGCCCGCGTTAGGAAGTCTTCCACAATCAGAGCCTAAGATTTCAGGACCACTGTTGTTATCACATGTATTTAGCAGGCTTCTTCAAACGCTCAGCTCTCAACCTTTACGCAATCATTTTTCCCTTTATTCTCAATCCCTTCCTGATTTGGGAAAGCTTCTCGGGAAATTTAAAGCAGGGAGGAAAGGAAATCACTCTCCTCACCTCGTAAAGCTGCGGCCTATTACATACTTATATCCCATCACTTCAAGCCAGTAAAATAAAATATGGCACCAGAGAATCTGTTGCCTTAGCATAAAATATTAAATACCACAAAACACAAACCAGAAAAATCCACAGAATTTACGAAAAAGGAAACATCTACTTACATGTGGAACACAGTTCCATGGGAAGGCTATTTTCATTACCCTGAAAAATACATTTAAAAAATGGTCGCTGATTGAATTATAAATGACACTGAAGTTCATAGCAGAACCAACATTGCAGATATAGATAATCTATTTCAAGCAAACAAAAGAAGAAGAAGAAGGAGATAAATATCTAAATACTAAAGATATACAAATGCAAAAACAGAAACAACAGAACAACATATATCACAATGATTCCAAATGGCTTGTAGTGACAAATATCTCATAAATTACTAATATATCAATTCCTTCAACAAGCCGACAATGTCACATATCAACTTGCTACAATTTTAAAACACCTGCTATCCCAATGGAGACCCCAAAAAAGACAAATTATAAATACAATATTTATATTTCAGTTACCAATGTCAGACTTGAACATTGACAAAAGAACACGAGAGAAAACTAACCACCTGTGAGATGAGATATCGAGTGAGAAACAATGTGATCACAAGAACTGCTGGAACAAAACCCATCGTCACATTTATTGAGAAACAAAGAATTAAATGGTTTTGTATTCTAATGAGAACGAAACCAATGATGCCAGCAGCAAGAGCATACAACCTGAAAATGTATTAAAGATGTTAACAATAACAATTAGTAAAACATACATGATGTATTGTCAACGGCAGTATTCAGCTGTACCTATGTGTTTAAATACTGATAAGCATCTTTCAATCTATGTGTACACACATTCTGAAAATAGAAAAGACATGTGTATGTTTGTCACATCTGACAGTCCCTAACTGACAGAGGACTGGAATGGAACAAAGCCAGAAAGAAAATGGCTGATAGAGACGTCTGGTGATCTCTCTGGCAAACATCTACACCCCAAGGTAGAAGAGGAGCGACTAAGTAAGTAATGTTTGTCACAAGGACTCCTCTAAAAGGGTGAACAGCAACAACGTTACATTAAAACATGTCATTCTGTGATATAGTCACTCAAAAAACCCTTAAAGATATTAGTAACCACAGAAATGAGATGTCTCAGAAAGGCTGCAGGGGTGAATAGGAGAGATAAAATCAGAAACAAGGTCACAAGAGAAAAAAATTCGGCGCAGAACTAATTCTAAATTACACGCAAACACAGCAAATCAAGTGGTCTGCCTGCTTAGAACGCCTTGTGACGCCACAACATACACAAGGCACACACCAATAGAGGAGAAGAACCGAGAACACAAAGTAGACCAAGAACAAGATGAAAAGAAAACAGAGAAAAACTCTATAAAAGCATGATGTGTCTATGGTCGAGATGGACAGAAGAGCAAGAAGCAGAATCTCAACACCTGAAGCGGTAAAAGAGGAAATGAAGAGGATTCTGTGCTACTTTCATCTTTCAAAACTATTAATTGAACTTTTAATATTATTATTAACTGATGGACTACATTATGTGGCTGTTACCTGAGGTATGGTTCACTGTAACTTTCATTAAATTCCCAACATTAGATTTAAAGAATGTTTACTAAGGCAATCTCCCCCCCCCCCCCCCCCCAAATCTCTTTTAAAAAAATAAAAACATAAATGTACTTCGGATCATGGACAACAACCAAAAAAAACAGGATTTGAAGGAACTTCAGAAGGTAAGAATAATAGGTATTAAATAAATTAGAATAAACGATGTGAAGAAATTACCCAGGTATTAAGTACTTCTGCATTCACCCGAAGATGTAATTGCGTTGTGCCCTTTTACAGTATAGTTTTCACGTGTTTAGGTGCATTGGGCATATAGGGCTAGATCTATATTTTATAGACGTTTCGACATTCGGTGGGTGATGTGGTCAACTTCCCGCTGACCAACCACATTCTCCCAGGACTTTATCTGGTACCTATTCAACTCTGGTTTGACCTGGAAGTCAAGGTCATTTTTGAAAACACTGTAGCTCTGTCAGGATCTGAACCCAAGCCCTTAGGATCCGCAGGTGAGTGTCTAGCGGCTACACCACAGCGGCTCCCATGATACCAGCAAGAATAAAATTAATTATGATAAATATAATAAAATATGAGTTTGAATCTCTCAGAGGGCAAAGCCAAATTGTAAAACTAGTATGTGTGTGCATGCGCATCAGTGAGCAATAAAAATACAAGTAATAACAAAATGACAGATAAGTGACAAAGCATAACAATAGTAACAAGCTTAGTTTTAAAAATAAATATATTAAAAAAACAGAATTAATGAGGCAAGTAAATATATGAAGTATGTTAAACAGAAAAGATCAGAGTATGGGGACAGGACATACTGCAGATGTGTATTAGATATGTGTAGGGACAAAAACTACTATGGGATACTTTAATTCTCTGTTACCGTTCCTTGGTTATTACTGTTATCTAATTAATGTATCTATGTATCTGCATCATAACCTCCTAGGATGCTAAGCATACTTCTAGATGTGCCACAATTATCATTCCACGAGTGATAAACTGAATTCCATTCAACCTCTTGCACTACAAATAATAATATTATACCAAGTAAAATAAATTATTCATGTGAATGAGGTCACCAGGATTATTACACAGTACTAATAGGTATATAGATGAACAAATATGAGCTGCATGTTCAACAGAATACATGCAACAGCAACAGTGGGACAAAACATGAGACAAAAAGCTGGATTCACTAGGAACACAATCATTCAATGTATATAATAACGTTAGCTGAAACAAATAAAATTATTAAACCAATCAGGCAGGGTTCTAACTTCATCGTACATGGGTTATCCCTATAATTACTCTATTCTTGTGCCAGTAAAAATCATACAATGCTCAACGCTTTCACGTGTCAAAAGTCAGACAGCAGTCCCAACACGGTCAACTCGTAACAGGGGTGGATCTGCAGGAAGGCTAAGGCTGCTTTAACATATGCAAACATGACCTGAAAGATACCAACATTGACAAAGACATGTGGGAGAGATCAACTACAGACCAACTCCTATGAAGGGAGACTAAAAGACTGGCTATCAACGTTTGCAATAGGACAAACGCAGCAAACTCCACAGGAGTTATATGAGAGAAAACCAACCTCAGTATAATAATATAGTATAAAAGATTGTATGTGCCTATGCTGCAGAGATATACTGCCATTCCCACACAGAACTTTGAAGTCACAGCAGACACTGTTCTCAAAATCAGCCGCACAACTTCATGGTTCCTAGGGACTGAAGGTTACTTACAAACTCCAAGCAAAATCTAACAGCTTGCACATCAAATGCATAAGGCAGCTGCCAGAAGTGTCAATACCCACAGCTTGTCCCTAGAATTTGTATTAATAGGCTACGGAAGCAGCAGTCAAGACAAACCACCAGAATGTACAGGGCCCAATTCTTTAGCAGCCAGCCCATTTTCTTAATATGCAGTGCAGCATTCACCTCAGAAAGCACAACATTTAAGCATTTAAGCATTCCTCCATAAAATTTACAGATCACAGTAACGCACCATACGCTCAACCCAGTAGGCAGCTGGCCCAGCTGCCAGAAGTGCCAATACCCACAGCTTGTCCCTAGAATTTTTATTCATAGGTTAGGGAAGCAGCAGTCAAGACAAACCACCAGAATGTACAGGGCCCAATTCTTTAGCAGCCAGCCCATTTGATTAATATGCAGTGCAGCATACACCTCAGAAAGCACAGAAATTAAGCATTTCTCCACCATACGCTCAACCCAGTAGGCAGCTGGCCCACCGATCAGGCAGGATAAAACCCGATTTTAGAATTCCCCCTTTACTTTTTTGGAATCGTTTGTAAGTTGACCCATCAAATTCCCCACTGGCGTTAAAGGCCCAACCCTCCATTGGATTACTGTGGAGTCCATCACGAGAAGGCAGGGTAGGCTAAACGACAGCAAGTTGAGAAGTCTTTTGTGCTGCGCATCATCTCATTTGGTTTAGTTTAGTTGTAGGACCCCTAGAGAATAATAAAATTATTACAATTGGCAGCTAGAATCGGGACAACACAAAGTAAAGACACTTCTTCGACTGTCAGAGCCGAGAAATCGCTTGAGGCGTATCTACCAGAGATTGAATTATCTGAACAACGATATACAAACAACACATTCAGCAGATAATGTTCAATGAGTGTCTAACCATGGTGAATTGTTGCAATGATCACTGCACAAACACACTCCGGTTGTTGACGATTCCTCAAATGTCGACTTCCTTTTGCAGCGTCATACGGGTCTTTGAGAGGTATTGTTAAAATGTGTCGGACATCGGTGTGCTGGTTTTGCATTGTTATCAACGAAACAAATATGACTCAAAACGACACAGAACTAGTCAGTTTCATAATATCGCACTCACAAATGACAAAATAAACGTTGAGGCTAAACAACTTTCCTCAGCATACAATAAAAACAGAACATGATCATTATCATCAAGAGCCTTGCTAGCTGGCTTATCATGCCTCTCCACAATCTGCGATCCTCAACTGCGTGTATCTGTTCGTGCTCCGACACCCCTTAATGCCATAACAAAAGACTCAAAAATCTTCTGACGTTGTCCTCCTCCTCTCTCTCTTTTCCACATATCTTTCCAGTGGTCACAACATGTTCCAGTTTCCCTCTTTTCGTAACATAACCAAACAATGATGGCTGTCTCTTTCTGATGTCTATGATAAGACGTCTTCGAGCACTCGTGTTTTTTTTTTTTTTCTTCGGAACATCTGGATTGCTCTTCTTAGCTATCCAAGAAATTCTAAGGATTCTTCTGTAAAATCACATCTCTGAGACCTCAAGATATTGTTCGGCTTGTTTATTAATTGTCCAGGCTTTACATACGTATGTTAAAACTTGCTCTGCCAGGGCAGATGTTGTCAAGGCCCTTTGGGAACAAGTAACGGAATCAGTAGAGAAACAAGATTATTTTAGCCTGGAGAGAATGAGGCACCTGAATGTAACCAGAGGGTTTGGCCGACTCGCTACACTCAGAGTAAAGGCGAGACGGACCTCTAACCAGATTGTTACCGGTGCCATCAGTATTGGAACTCTACGCTGGTTGCTGAAGATGAAGGACGGAGCATGTATAAGAATGCCCCGAGTGCTGTGATGTCAGTTCTTGACTTAACGTAACTTAGCTTGCTCTTTGTAGCCTGTGATACAATTTGTAAAAAAAAAAAAAATTTTTTTTAAAGAAGAATATACTAAATCACGTAAATTCAACATGATGTCTGTCATAAAAATATCCATTAAACATAAAAAAAGACATTCATATGACGCCTAGACACCAGAAGCTCTGAGTGCCCGTGTTGTTGCGGGAAAGAAATACTTAACAGTAAAATAAATGTTGTTTAAGGAATTCCCTGAAATATAAATGTTTTATCCTGAATAGTTCAGAAAAGATTATCCATAAACATCGGGGTGGGGATATGAAAGATTCAGAGGTGATTACAGTAAAGCTTCTAGCAAATAATTAACAAAATCGTGTACTTGATGGTGTGAACTCTAAGAATAAAAGAAAAAAAAAGGGGCAGTCCTCCTCGAGACATATGAAAGCCGTAAACTAAACTGATTAGAAAAATTGATTCTAGTTACGAAGTCGGGCCCGGGCACAACGTGATAAGACGTTCATTCATGCGCCCTAACCTTTGAGACGCGTTAGTGGCAGTGGTGTCAGGCTGTATTGTGTCGACGGTAAAACCGGCGACCACTTATGCGTGCTCTATATTACAGGATCTGAGCGGTTTTAACGATCCCATAACATCTACAACTAGCCCTAACTACAACCCTCCCACCCTCCTTCACCACTCTGCCTAGGTCCCACGAAAGAGTGCATTCTACGCCCCTTGGTTTCAAACTTCTTAGCATTTTGCGGTGGCTCCCAAAACGCTGTGTTGCTTCAGAAAATCAACGGTGCCCTTCTCGTCGACACCAAAGGTGACCGTTGAAATATGCCCATGTCCATCTTAAAATCCGAGACGGCTATCGTATACGCACTGTCACCAGCGGCCGCCCACAACAAACACTACACTATATACAACTTTCAGACCATACAAAACAAAACAACCTGACACCCCTTTGACAGAGAGTCGGGCGTGTGAAAGGTCAGAAAGGATGAATAAACGCCCAATCAGGTCGTGTTTGGGCCCAAGTTAGTGAGTTGTTCCGAAAAATTAGAGGTAGACAGTCTGTATTTCCATAAAGTTATTAGAAGGAACTGACTCTAGAACCAAAGACGAGTGACAGCACTTGATAGAAAAAAGCAAAAGGGTAGCAAAGAGATAAATACTTGCATGGCTCAACCATGACCTAATTAAGAAGGCGTTGGCTTAGCCATATGGATGGGGCGAGGCAAGAATACTTCCCAGAACTTTACCTGATACACACTCAAGACTTGATCAACCTAGGATAAAGTTATTTAAAAAAAAAAAATGTCGGATTCGGACTCCATTCGAATTTAAACCCACTACCTTGGGATCCAAGGCGAGCATCTAGCCGCTGCTACATAGCGTCCTGTTTATGACTATAAACGTATATGTCTATATTGTTAGGACCAGGACTTTTTTTATGGCGGTATGAAACGGTACGCAATACCTGCAGACTGCTATGCATTTTTTACAGCATTACTGTAAAAGACACTAGTTGGTGATTAATAGCACCTGTTTGTTGTGTATACTTTGTAGTAAGTATCAGCACCTTATTTCCCCCCTCTTAAAATAAATGTCCTACCTGTAACATTCATGAATGAATGAATGAATGAATGAATTTCTACCCCACCAGGACATCACACAAGCGACAAACACCCGATGACACAAAGTGCCACCATGTGGGTGAGGATCACCGTGGAGAGGTCTGTGACGTGCGTATGTTCATTGGCGTACAGTGTGACCTGCTGTAAAGGCTGCGTGGTGATGTGCGGCGTACCAAAGGTGACTAGGGGCGTCGCAATGTAACAAAATGGCATCAACACTTAACATGCCACTGGCCAAGAGTAACACAACATGATGAATGCTGAAGCTTCCAAACGTAGCGGAACGAGAACTCTCTTTAAAAGTTCCATTTGTGTATTGACAAATAGCAATGATCAACACAAGGAGAAAATATGCAATTAATAATCAAGCACATCAACAAAAGCTCGCTCGTACATCCATGGACTGATACGTCCTCACGATAGGTCGCAGTCCGACCTTGAGATCCAGACGATTATCTTTGTATTCGGCTTTGCAATCTGGATTAAGTAATGAAAGTATACCGGCTTACTGCCGGTCTGTGACTATTCACCAGCTTCCTGCTGAGGTCTATCTTGGAGTCCCGGGGTAAAACGTCCTCAAGGATTCAACTTTATACAACGTTTGCTTCCGTGGGATCCCGGGTAAAGCGTCCTCAAGGATCCACACGTCCGTCTCCTTCGGACTATAAACATCAACTGCAAATTATACCGGCTTACTGCGAGTAGTATAGGAGTCGTTTTGAGGTATTATTTCAGAAATCGATCTCTCTTTATCCTTAGTAAAAGATGGCGGCCAAAAGTGATTGGTTTCTCTAGGAGGCTGTTCTTTATCCTTAGTAAATATCGATCGGGTAAGCCTCCCTCTTTGTCCTTAGTAAATATCGATCGGGAGGCTGATGACAACACAAGTGATTGGTTTTAGGGAAAGGTATAGGAAATCTTCATAACTGCAGGTGACAGGTGGCGTTATATAAAACGGGGGCAGGCAGGAACACTATTTAGGTGAGCAGCGGGGGCAGGGGACCCGGGGCGACTAGGAAGGCGGCATGATGACCGGGGATATATTACAAAGGGCAGATTGGGCGCCGGCATCATCATCATCATCTATGTCATGGTAGCGAAGGTCGACCGCTCAACCTATACAAGAGAACAGACATATAAACATCGATATTTTGTCTCTCCCAGGGTATTTTCTTCGGGAAATGTAAATATTTCTTTAGTGCAGGGCCAGCTGTTGGTTAAAGTGGCGGATGCTTCATTTCCCCATACAGTCCTAGGGATTAGTGATTTTTTTTCAGGTTGCAGAGGGCGCGGTTCTCTTATGGTAAGAAGTAATGGGTACCCTGAATTTATAATATTCAAAGGTTCTGATTGGTCAGCTGGGGTTTTAGTAGTCAATTCTGATTGGTCAGTATTCCCGGAGGGAAAAGGATGGCTATTACAGGAAGGTAGCCAGCAGTTTGTACTTTGTAGGGTGTTTTATATAGTTGAAATAATAAGAACAACGCAGTGTGATATTCAACAGACTTTTATTTATATAAAACATGATCAATATACATAGCAGGTATTATAAGTTATAAGATGCACTTGATACAAATTCCAAATAAATTCAACAGCACAGCAAAAATACAGGGGTGCCATAAAAGAGACAATATTAGTAAACCAAACGGGTAAATATACAACGAAAGCACAGGGGTAAACGACCTCCAGCTGCATCAAGTAATTACTACAACTTCACCCGACCGACGCGCCATCTGTTGTGATCTAAATCGATGTCAGGTTTTTGTCATTTTTCTTGTGTTCTTTTGTGCTTCCGAGTCTGTAAAAAAAAAAAAAAAGCAGCGGCGTCTCCTGTTTGTTTGTTTTTTGGTGGGTGGCTAGTTTCGTTGGGGACGCAAGAAGATTTGTGGATTTTCCTATCTGGTGTCCCTCGTGTGTTCTGTTTTCCCTATCTATAATCATCTTATATAGTAGGCTTCTGTTTATGATCGGTTGTGGGTATGATACAGGGAAAAGAAGCCGCCTGTTCGATATGTTTAAAGACGGTTTGGGTCCCACGAGCCGCTGACCTAGCCTCTCAGATTGTTACAGGGTAACTCTTATGACATAGCTGTGTTCTCCCGCATCTATAAATGCTTCAAACACGATCGGTGTGGGTATGGTACCGCACTAACGGAGGACATTGCTGTTGTATGTCGCTTCCGATGTCGACATAACAAGACCACCCAGGGCCACCTATGTTTTGCACGAATACGACGCCGCTGTCTTTTGTGTTATTAAAACGTCGGTATTAATTATTCAGAGAGAAAACCCGTAGTTATATGTAACAGGTGTCAGGACACACGAGCAACGAAAATTCAATACTCCCTATCTGAAGGCTTTCAGCCCTCATTCAGATCAACGGATCTATACAAATTAATACGCAC